TGTCCCCAGTGGAGACTGGGGATGCTCTCAGTTTTGCCTGTGAAATAATAACATCTGCAGGCTGCAGAGATGGTGTGCACCTCACTCTAGCCCTGGGTTGAGGTGTGAGCTGTCCCCGTTGAAGGGCAAGGTGCATCGCTGATGAATCCCTCCACTTGGTGGCCTGTCCCTGCTCACCCACACTGCCCAGCCAACCACAAGGGGAAATCTGCAGTGGGAAGCAGAAGTCTTTCAGGGTGCCCAGAGCTCTGCGCTGGGAACTGCCTGGTGCCCACATCCCATACCTTCCTCTCTACATTGGTCCCAGTGACCAATGTGGTTGGTTAGAACTGAAGGGGGACTTCCGTCTCCACTGATCCAGGGACGTGGAAGCAACTGTGGTCAGAGCTCTAAGGCTGCAAAGTGCTCTCTCTGCAGCAGGTGGGAAGGGGGCTCTTGAAGAAAGTCCCCGCACATCCCTTACATCCCTGTCCAGAGCCCGGCAAGGTCAGTTACTGTGAAGTGGCTCTCTCTCCTGCCCCTGTGTGCTCCCGAGGAGAAAGAAGAGTCTGCCTTTTCTGTGTCTCTCTCAAAGAATGATGAACGTGGGAAGCCAACACCTCAGAATGTAGCCGCTTCAAATGATTACCATCTCCTGCAAGTGGCCCAGACCCTGTCTGTCTTCCGTGTGCCTCTTTCCAGCTGTCTGCAGAGCTCTGGGTACAGGGAAGTCTCCTTCACAGTAGAAAACTCCTCGAGTGTGAATTTGACCTCCATGCATCAAAAACTTCTCAGTACTGGGTTTTTTTCCACTGCATCATGTGGGCAGTGTGGTGGTTCTTCTCCTTCTTCTCCTTCTTCTTCTTCTTCTTCTTCTTCTTCTTCTTCTTCTTCTTCTTCTTCTTCTTCTTCTTCCTCTTTTTTTTTTTTTAAGTCAGGGATTGAACCCAGGGGAGCTTAACCCCTGAGCTACATTCCCAGTCCTTTTTATTTTTTAGTTTGAGACAGGGTCACACTAAGTTGCTGAGGGTCTCGCTAAGTTGCTGAGGCTGGCTTTGAACTTGCGGTCCTCATGCTCAGCCTCCCTAGTACAGTGTGGTTCTTCTACACATAGGAGTGAGGTGCCACCCACATGCCAACCTGTACGTACCAACCTGGTCTCTACCAGGCACACCTGGTGGTGGGTTAAAGTCTGAGGGCCATCCAGACGTGGCCGATGATGTTTCGCTAGTCCTCTTGGGATGGCAGGGACCACAGGTGTACTCTGAAGCCCCACCCACTGAAGGCAGGGAAGGGTCAGCTGTGCGTGTGGGGTGGGTCAGCCTGCATGGGCAGGTGTCCCCCATGAGCAGCTATGTGCCTCACAGGGCCCAGGGTGGTGGCCACACCACAGCGACACACAGGGCAGGCTCCAAGCCGCAGCCTCTCCCGCTACCACCTCTCGGTTCCCACGACCCTTCACCTTGCTCCACCGAGAGCTTTGTTTAACAGTTCAGAGAACTGCTGTGGGCCCCAAAGCCTTCCAGGCGCGTCACTCTAATTAGTATAGTGGCTTCCCTGGGAAAACTGCTTTCCGGGCTCCAGAGGAACACTGATCATTCTAAGTAAGTTTGCATGAGGATGCTGGGACTGTTGGTGCCACCCAGGTTCTTGAATCAGAAATGCAGGGGTTTCTGGCCAGCAGTTCTTGAGTTCCCTGAGATGAGTGAGAAGCAAGCAAGCACTGGCTCCCATCCTCACACATACCGAGACCACTAGCCTGGGGCGGGAGTGGGAGGAAGGGCCCGAGCTGTGCCTTTCCATGCTGCCTACATTATGCAAAGAGCCCCTGTCCTCTCTACCCATCCATCTGCAGCACAATGGCTGCAATCTGGCCACTACCCTACGTACTGATTCAACCAGCATATCTTAGGCATTCACATGAGCCAGGCCTCTGCTGGGAAGTGCACTCCAGAGTCTCCTTGGCAGAGGACAAAGAAGCACAAAGAAGCAACTGTCCATTGCAGTGGTAGGTCGCAGCATTGAACAAGGAAGCTAAAGGCTGTATTCATCTGCTTTCCATTGCTATAGCAAAATTCCAGGGCGCATACTTTATAAAGAAAAGAGGTTTATTTAGCTTACAGTTTGGGAGGCTCACAGTCCAAGAGAGGTGGCAAATCCATTTTGTCTTGGTTGAGGTCTGCCCTGGTTGTATGGTATCCTAGTGGTTGGTGTCACGATGGGAGCACATGTGTGAGCGATCACTGGGCAAAACAGGAAGTTGGAGAGTGGGAAGGGGTTGTCTTGCTCTTTCATAACAACCTTTGGAAACTGCATTAATCCCTCCCAAGCCCAGTGCCCCCAGTCACCTCATTACCTCTGCACTAAGCTCCACCTCTCAAAGGTCCCACCACCTCTGAATATTGCCACACTGGGTCCAGAGCTTCCAACATTGGAACCCTTGGGGAACCCACCAATCACATCCAAGTCATAGCAAAGGAATGGGGAGTGACAAGGTGTGGGAGCATGCGCGCATCAGCCACGGTGTCAGGGAGGGAGCAGTGGGTGTCTAAGTCAAGAGAGTCCTTCTGGGAGAGGAGGAGGCATGCAGAGGTCTCGAGCTGGGAATGAGTGGGGCCTGCTCAAGTGCGCAGGGAGTCTGGTGTGACAGGGGCTGGCAGCAGAGGACCTTGACCAGCACCTGCCATGAAGCATAGCCTTCGAAGCCTGATAAGTGGCCACTTCCGTGGAGCAGGCTTGACCCCCGTTTCCTGTGGCTGTCTGTGGGGCGCTGATCCCAAGGCTTTCTGCTGCAGCAGTTCTCAGTGGGGGATGATTTGCTCCCCAGGAGAGTTTCGGCAAAGCTGGAGATGTTTTTGGTGGTGGCAACCTGTGTGTGCACTTGTGAGGATGCTCTTGGCATAGTGAGAAGAGACCAAGGTGCTGCTAAGCTTCCTACCTTGCTCAGAACAGACCCTCAGCCAAGAACTATTTGGCTCCATGTGTCAAATGAGCTGGGGTAGAGAATCCCGTTCCGGGTCTCCATGATATTTTATTCAATTGTCATTGGTACCAGGCTCTGGGGAGGGTTGGGGACACATGGGAAGGGGTGCAGTGTGCATGGCCTGCACGTGAGACCCACCTCAGAGTGTCAGGAACACAGTATTCCACACCTGACCTCTTATAGTTTAGCCAAGCACAGTGCCAGTGCTTAGGCCATGGGCTCCCGGCTGGGATGCTGTCACTTTCTGGGCAGGGGTCTGGAGGACCAGGCCAGGCTAGCTCATCTCCCGGGGGCTCACAGGGAGGAGCAATCAGTGCACACTGACCAACCTGATCTCTGCTACGGTGGGCTGTCTGCCAGGAGCCCTGAGTCCTAGGCAGGGCCTTTGCCTCTGCTGCCCTCTGCCTGGAAGGCCCCTCCAGCATTCTGGGCCTCTCACCTGCCCATCTTCTCATCTGGCAGCTCCATGCCAGGCTGCTGAGCTCCCCGCTGAGATCCCCCTACCCTGCCCCTCAGAGCAGAGCTCTTTTGTCTGGGTCCTGCGCCATGTCACAGTCCCTCAGCTGCCAGAATTCTGTGAACAGTAGCTGACAAGCACTGGGGAAGGCAGGCCAGGTGGACAGGGCAGCAGGAGGGCCCCCTTGAGGGTCTGGGAGGGAGAGGTCAGGGGTGCCAAGGCAGCAACCTCCCCTCCTCCCTGCCAGAGGCTGCACCCTGCTAGGTCTGCTCAGCTGTGACTGCCAGGCACGCTTGGTTACCCCAGGAAACAGCTTCAGTAGGAAGCCTGGTGCCGAATGGTGTGGGAGACTAATAATCGGGCTCCTGATTCTGGGGCACCCTTACTACAGCCCTCCTTCCTCCCCATCAGACACCTCTCCACCCCTCCCCCGGCCTCATCCTTTCTCTGAAATGAGCCTACGTGTTTTAGACTTTGGATTCTTATCTCCCTGAATTTTTGCTATATTCCCACAGCATCACGAACCCACTCTATTTGTGCAGAACTGATCACACATTAGTCTCTGAGAAACAAGGACTGGCATTGTTCTGAAGCTATTGAAAATAGGATATTATGGAAAATAAGTCACGTTCATTCAGCTTGGCGTAGGGGCCTGAGAATTGGCCCCAGGGAATTTTACTAGGGGCCTGGCTGATGACCACTGTATCAGATGGTAAGTCCTCAACTCTTAAAAAAAGAATATATAGTCAAGAAATTTGTAATGTTTTGAACAACCCACAATAAAAAATTAAAAAAAAAAAAAAAAAGAATATATAATGTATATGTACACATATATGAACACATACCTATAGATGTATAAAATATATGTATTTGTTCCTGCCAGAGAAAGACCGAGTCCTGTTGGCATCATCTTCTGCTACCCCCTCCCCCTAGGCTATTCGTTTTCAATTTGGGCTCTCCCTGTGGCCGTAGGACCCAGGACCAGCACCTTAACTTCTTTGTTTCTCTTTACTCATCTGTAAAATGGGACAGGCAATAGCGCCTCCTTCATTGTTGTCCCCGGGAATTACTGCCGCCCTCGGTGACTTGACCTTGACGGCTGTGCTCAGAGGCAAGCCTTTGGTATGGAAGTAGCGTCTCCGTTCCAAGACACAGTGGCGAGGGAGGTGTTCTGGAGACGCACGGACCGCAGCCTTCTCTGCACCGGGAGTATTGTCAAAGTTAACTTTGGGACTGTCCCCTGGGAGGGCAGGACGGCAAACTCAAAGAACCGGCCTGGGGGACCCGAGCAGTTCCACCGAGGTGAATTTCTGGCGCTCGGTCAAAGATGCGCTCCCCGCCGCGGCCTCTCCGGGCTCGGGCTGGGTGGTCAGGCCGCCGACGCGAGCTGGCCGCGGGGACCCAGGCGCCCCCTCCCCGCGCCGCAGCGCCCCCGCCCGCCCCCGCGGCCTCCTCACCTATCAGATTTCCCGTGCGCATCGCCGCGCCGCTCCGCCCACCTCCTAAATGCCGCGCCGAGCCGCAACCCATCCCGGGCCTGGACCGGCGCGCCGCGGACCGGCCGCGCGCCCCCTGCCTCCGCGGGCCGGGATGCGGCGCTAGGTCGCCGGGCTTCCGGGCCGCGGGCCGCGGAGATGCCCACGCACGGTAGGACCGGGCCGGTGGGGGCCGCGCTGGGGCCGCGGGGGCGTGGGGGCCGGCGCAGGTGACAGCGCGCCCCGGGGGCCGCGCCCTGCAGGCACGCTGTCCAGCGCCCCTTCTTCATTTTTTAATTAAGGGAGAAAAAAATATGTTACAGACCAAAGGTCATGGAACTTGGTGTCGCCGGGTGTTCGCTGATGAAGTGTCCTCACTCCTCACACCGCACGTTGGGAAGTTGGGTCTCTGGGTGGGCCACCCTGCGAATTCACGTTGGATAGTAAGGGATCACACTGGGGCGAAACGTCAATTAGGAAGCATAACCAAATCCTAGAAACCGAGTCAGCCCGCAGCCTGCGGCAGGCAGCCCTGCAGAGCGAGTGGGGGCGGTGAGGGCTGATAGGCAAGATGGTGAAAAGCCATCTCTCCACCAAGGAGTGACAGGAGGGGTGTTGGCTGCGGGGAGGACGGAAGGAAGGCTCTTAGGTCATTTCTCAATACAGTGAGTATCTTCAGGTTTGGCAATCAGCATTTTTTTTTTTTTACAACATCTGTACTAGGTGTGTGTGTGTGTGTGTGTGTGTGTATTTGCGTGCACAAGCACAGATATCATATGCGTGTTAAATACGTGCAGGAAATATTTATATTTGAGCAACTCCCCCCCATCTTGTCCTATTTTGGTTTCACTCTTTGTTTAGGTTTCTTCTGACTTTTGGGGGAACACATTCAGCTTTGAAATTCCAAAAGCGAATCTGCAGTAATCAGATGTTGTGAAATTATTTTTCATTCTTCCTGACAAACTTTAAAAATCTTTGCCATGTATATGCGACTTCTTGTCAACATTGGCATTATCTCCCGTTTCTGCGTTTCCCTCGTTCCTCTGTTGCCCTGGGTTATAGAGAGGGAGGAGTAGAATTTAATAAGGGGAGGTCTGGGGAAGCTCAGGCTCCAGTGAGTGCTGAGTGTGACACGGGTGCTCTTTCCAGGGTTTGACAGAGGTAGGAAATAATTAGTTGCCTTAGTGGGTAAATGTATGCTGATCATCCCATCAATTTCAATTGATTTATAGTCTTGGGCAGGGGACAGCTCGGTGGCCCTGGCTTCCATCTCCAGTGCCACCTACACACACAGTCTTGTGCATGCTCCATCTACATGCCCCATCTTTTGTGGTGTTTTCTTATTAGCTGTGTGTGATATGTAAATTTGGTTTCAAAGAGAGAACATCTCATATCATTTCTTAAAGGAATGCCTATGCATTAAGGCCTGTTTTCTATCTCCTTTCATTTCCCCCTCTCTTTTCAAGTCTTTTTTTTTTTTTTCATTACGGGAGATAAAAAATAATTAAAGTCTGATGTTTGGGGAGGATTCCAGTGTGAGGCCCGAGGAAGGTAACTTCTGGATGTACATCCCTAAGAGTAGACACTCCCCTACACTGTCACCTGAGTCCTGTCCTTGCAAAGGTTCTTTAAGCCCAGGTGTTCCTTCTTTTGTAAGATCTTAGGTAGGTGCTTTGAATAATCAAGGACCACTTTTGGTATCGAATGTTGTGAGATTCTGCATACCTGCTGTCACCAGGCATGCCCAAGGGGTGACAGTCCTCATCCTTTCAGCAAGGCAGAGCCTCCCCCCCCCGCCCTGTCCCCACCCTCCAGCCACAGGCACTGGACAGGTGCTGGTTCAGACCTAGGGTCCTGGAAGTGCTTCAGAGGCTCCCTCTGTCTCTTCCTGGGCATGGACTTTGGCTTGTTCTCTGAGCCCAGGCACTCGTGTCCCATGGGAGCCTGTTTGCCTCTTGTGCATGCTTGTCCGTTGGGCTGGGTTTCTGATCGGATTTCGACTTGGTTTTCTGCCAGGACTAGGTCCTGGACTTGAATCCCAGTTCCAATGGCCTTAAGAAGCTGTGTGGTGTTTATCAGCCTGTCTTGCCAGGTGAATGGTGTTAGCAGACCCAGTCTGGGTACTTCCTGCTCGGAAGCCAATACTTGGGAGCTGAGTTGATGGGAAGAAATCAGTTTATTCAAGGGCTGGCTCCTGAGAAGATGGACAAGACTACTGTCAGGTGCTCAGACACACCAAAGGGCTTTCACGGGAGGTGTTGTGGACATTGGGCAAGACGATGCATATTAAGGGGGTCTTCATTATCCAGGGTCTGTTTTCTCTTCTGCTGGAATATCTTATGATAATCACTTGACTTTTGTATCCTAGGCCAGTCCCTATACTCTTTTAGGTAAACATGTTATTTCCCGCAAGTTAAACATTATTCCACTTTTAATTGAAGAACGGGGTTACTAAGTCCTCAGAGGATCACACTTTGATGTTATCTGAAGACCCATCCGATGTCCCAAGCTCTGAAAACTAAAGAAAGATGACTGATTAGGAGGTCTTGGAACCAGTGTCTGTTTCCTTTTTCTGCAAGAGTCGTCCTCAGCAGGTGGCATCTCAGCCATTCAAAGGTGGCTTTATTTGTAAAGGGGAACAACAAAGAATAATGCTATGAGGAGCAATTTGCAAAGTTGAGCTGATCCAAAATAGGGTGGCATCACACGGTTGCTGTGGACGCTGACTAGGGTTGGTCTTCCTGGAACCTGACAGACCATGGACTACCACACCCCTCCCTGACTGTACTGGTTAGCCACCAGGAGCCTATAGCATTGCTCCTGGCCCCACCCAGAATTAGGCAACTCGGCCGTGCAACTTCCTGTGGACACTGCTGTCGGTTGGATTTTCTCCTTTGTCCCTTTCTTCCTTCTGTGCCCTGCTGGCCTTCAGGAAGGGCTCCTCCCAGCCCTTCTAATGGCAGCTCTTCGCCTTTGCCACCTGAGGATGGGGCTCCATCAGCTTTGAGTCTGTCTGCCCCTGGGTTTTGACTACCCTTTTCTTTGCCTGTGCAAGGAGGGGGTTCCTGGAGCTGTGTCCCAAGGGAAGCCAAAGGTTAGGGGGATGACAGAGATTTTGACAAACTCGTGTGGCCTTCGGTGGAAAACCAGGATCAGGAGATGGAGCAGCATGTAATGAGGCTCAGTGGATCAGTCGAGCGGGATTTTTGGTCTGATTCTGACCATCATCCCACATCCGCAGTAGGAGACACAGAGCTAGAATTTGAGTCTGAATTGGGTAAAGGAAAGCTGATCATTCATTTTCTCATTCCATAACTGTTCAGGTCATAATCAAGAGCTCAGGATCTGGAGTGGGATGCCTGGTTCAAATCCCGTGGCATCCGGGTTCTTGCTGTGTAACCTGGGGCAAGTCACTTATTTCTCTAGGCCTTGGTTCCTTAGTTTTCCTCCACTGAAGTTGAAGATCCCAGCAGCCCTTGTTTCATCAGGGTGGCTGTAGGGTCAGGTGGTTCTGAGTATCTGCAGCCACGCGGCAGGGCTACCGAAGGCCTAGCTATCACTGCTGTTGGTACTTCCCTGTTGTTATCCAAGCACTTCACTGTGCCGAATAATATTGCTTTTGAACAAGAATGAGGTGTGAAAATGAAGCACAAACTAGTTTTATTGAACTAAACAAACAAACAAACTTGGTTTTAAAAGCCTTTGCCAGAAAGATAGGCCCAGGGCATTTGAGGCCCGGCAGAATGATCACCAGGGACAGCGTTCAGGCTGGCCTCTCCGCTTTGGTCCCTGTGTCTGTCATGAAGCGCAGCTTTTCCGTGCTTTCCGGAAGCCATTCCTGGGGGTTGCAACTCTGTCTTGGTTGCTTCTGAGGGTTTCTCGTTTATTTATTCATTCTGCAGAGGTGTTTTGTCATTGGAACTCTGCGAGCTCCCTTTGAAAGCTTGTTCTGTGCCCTTGTCATCTCTTGTTTTGCCGATTTTGTGTTTATAACTTCCCCTGGTAGTAAATCATTTATTGTGAACCCTTTTTTTGGGGGGGGGGATTCAAAAGACACTCACAGAGTCCACGCAAAGTCCAAGGACCATGCCACGCACTGGAATCCCACGCCAGAGATTTATTGTCGGTCTTACAGGAGGCAAACCCGCCAGGCTGTCCCTCCGGGGAGAGCAGCACTGACAGCAGCTCCTTAGCCCGCAGGAGGAATCTCATCAGCTGCTCAGGAGTCTAAGCTGGGAGGGGTCGATCCCTTAGCAGGCACTTTGGAACCTCTCGATATAATGGATCCCGACCTCAAATGGTGAATCTGATGCCAGTATGATCTGGCGCCAATATTGACCTGATGCCAATAGGGATACTAGGGACTGAACCCAGGGGCACTGAGCCACACTCGCAGCCCTATTTTGTATTTTCTTTAGACAGGGTCTCACTGAGTTGCGCAGCGCCTTGCCTCTGCTGAACTGGCTTTGAACTCGCGATCCTCCTGCCTCAGCCTCCTGAGGTGCTGGGATTATAGGTGTGTGCCGCCACGCCCAGCTACTGTGAACGCTTTCAGTCCACTCTGGGAGTCTGGTTTTTTTCCGGAGTGACTTCTTCATCCTGCACATTGGTGTGTGCTACAGGCCTGCTCCCTCGCCTGTGCTTTTGGGCCGTGGTGGAGTTTCCAGGCAGGGCCTGGTGGGAGAGGAGATCATGTCCTTGGAGGACTTCTTGTCCCCGCCCTTTCCTCTCTCTCTGCTTCCTGGCTGCTCCCAGGGAGCAGCCTCCTCTGCCACAGGCTGTCACTGTTGAGTTCTGCCTCACTCAGAAGCCGTGCAGCCTGCTGACCCTGGGCTGAGACCTCCGAGACCATGACGAGGTTCCATCTCACCCCAGTCAGAAGGGTGCTCATCAAGAATACAGGCAACAATAAGTGTTGGCGAGGGTGTGGGGAAAAGGCACACCCATACACTGCTGGTGGGACTGCAAACTGTCACCACTCTGGAAAACAGTATGGAGAGTCCTTGGAAAACTCGGAATGGAACCACCGTTTGACCCAGCTATCCCACTCCTTGGTCTATACCCAAAGGACGTAAAATCAGCGGTGATGCAGCCACATCAATATTGATAGCACGTCAGCTCACAATAGCTAAGTTATGGAACCAACTAGATGCCCTTCAGCAGATGAATGGA